AGCATTTCATGGGGTTCAGGGCATGATTCTGGAGACAGACAGACTGACCCTGGTTTTATCCTGGTTCTGTCACCTAGTAATTGTGTGAACTCCTTAAATTCCTCATCCATAACGTGGGAATGATGCCCTTCTTGGGACAATTAACAGGACAACATACAGAGTCGGTAGATTGGTGCCTGACACACAGCCAGCTCTGCATAAATGACACCTATTATCATTGGTCACATTCCTAACCCTAAGAGCCACTCTTACTATTCTGTCCCCTTCATTCTACTGCCAAAAAAAGGGAAGAACTGACATGAAAAAGGTCAGGGACATGGGGACACAGTGGGCCCTGGTGCTGAGCATGGAGCTTTAGAGAAAAAACACTCTTGTTCCCAAACAACGTGCCTTTCGGGGGTCTTTCTGTTCCTCTCTTGAACCTTCATTTTTTTTTTTTTTTTTTATCCTCACCCGAGGATATTTTTCCATTTTTTGTACAGATAGAGTGGGAGGGAGAGAGAGGAAGGGAGAGAGAGAGAGAAACATTGACATGAAGGGACACATCGAGTGGCTGCCACCCGCACGACCAACCAGGGCCGGGGACAAACTGCAACCGAAGTACGTGCCCTTAGCGGGAACCGAACCCAGGTCTCTCCAGACCGCAGGCCGAAGCTCTAACCGCTGAGCCAAACTGGCCAGGGCTGAACCTTCATTTTCTAAAATTCTGACCCGAGGATATGTTTTTTATTGATTTTTAGGGGGGATGGAGGGAGAAACATCAGTGTGAGAAAGAAACATCATTCAGTTGCCTCCTGTACACGCCCAACCAGGAGATCGAACCCACAACCTTCTGGTGTACAGAATGACGCTCCAATCAACAGAGCCACCCGGCCAGGGCCTGGACCTTCCATTTATTTGAGGTTGCTTCTCACTCTCAGAACGCCAGCCACAGAGATGGTGAAACATCAGAGCTTAGAAGGAGGCCCAGCTCCCGAGCCCTTTGAGGCCAAACAAGAATAGGAAGGGACCCAGGCCACTGGACCCTAGGGGAAGCCCACCCCATCTAAAACATGGACTTGTCCACTTCTCGGGCAGGAGAGTTACACTATGGTCAGGGCCTAATTCCCTCACTTGGAAAAGTGGGAAGGAATCTTTCGAATGTGTCATCTTTGAGGAGACTCTGGGGCCCCTGGTGGGGGCAGCTGTTGTCAGGAAAGCCAGACTCAAGTTCAGAGATCTCAACCCTGCTCACTTGGCAGAGCTACTACACCTGTGCTTCACCTTCTAGAAGTTATATAGCTGAACCAAATATTGAAAAAAACAGGGCCTAGCACATAATTGGAGCTCAGTAAATATTTATTAAATGAATACATGATTGACACTGAACACCTGAAAAGTAAACATGTTTCAAATTTATATACTATAACAGTAAATCTAAATAAACCAACATCCAATGTATACAAAGAGATTGTATTCAGTGTTTGTGTGATTGTTCCGAATAATAAACTGAATTAACTGCCTCATTAAAATACTTTCTAAAAGTGCCCTGCTACCAGCTAAGGCTTCTTCTGTGATCCTTGAACTTGCCTGGCTCAACTTGTTAGAGAGAACAGATCTTTGGACAGGAGATTTGGGTTTGCTCCAGGTTCTGCGGTTTATGAGCAAGTCACTTAACTCTGAGCTTGTTTCCTTCTCTGGTCAGAGGGACTGACAACACCCGCCCTAACTATCTCATGGGAATACTGTAAACACCACGAACTGGAGATGTGAAAGCACGATCTGAACTCTGAGATGCAGCCCTCACCCAAAGTCAGTTTATAATGACTTTTACCTACTTCCCTAGATTCTCAGGAGCTCTCCCCCAGATTCTGAATGGGATCCTTCTCTTCCAACTCGACTTTTGCCCAAATGGTTCACAACTGTCATTTCATTATCAGTCACAGAAAGAGGGGGTACAAGTGGGGTGTTTAGAGCACAGGCAGACCTGCAGGGGACCCCAGCTGTGGCACTTGCTACTTGAGACCTTCAACAGGCTACCTCTAGCATCTCTCAGTCTCATGTACAAAACAGGGATGATAATGACTCTTACAGATTTGCTCTCAGTGGAAATGACATCATCCCCATAAAATACTCAAGGCTGTGCATACAGTAAGCACTCAAACAACTGTAGCTGCTATGACTACTGAATCTTGTTCCTTCACTGTGTCCTGAATTTGTCCTATCTCCCCAACTGCATTTTCATCCCTGAGAGAAGGGACCCTGTCCTATCATTTATTTTGTTACCCCCTAACCCCACTTCCATTCCAGAAAAGTGCTCAGTTCTTCGTATTTCCCCCACAAACACCTGTTGAATTGCTTAAAGTGAATTAAGTTGTTCTTCTCTAAACAGTGCTCAAGTTTTTACAACAGTCCATCACAGCCAGCTTGACAAAGTCAATGTACATACGGTAGAGTAACCTCTGCTGGCCCTATTATCACAGTAAAATGTGTGATCCCAAAGCACACAGCCAAGCCGCCCCCACTACTGAGCGTCCTCCCACGGCGGACGCTCTACATAGTCAACAGCCTAAAAATATTGCAAAGAAATAGATTTCCTTTGGGGACCTCTGGTAAATTCTGGAGCATTCTCTTTCCCCAAGACATGAACTTTATAATCTTATAGGTGCAGATAGTATCACGGGTAACACACACGTGAGCACAGAAAATGCCGCACAACAACCTGAGGGCCACATTTTAGAGCTGTGTTATGGGTGAGACAGTCCTTCTGGGGTTTTGCTAACAAACTTCCTTGGATGTCATAAACCTCACACCGAGTTCTACACCACAAGGAATACTATGGGTAGATGCTGGTGACTTACAAATCAAACATGATTTAAATCCATGTTTTTAGAAGAGTAACTGCAAACTAAAAAATGTCCATTTTACAACACTGTCAGCAAAATCCTTCATTTTATAGGCTATCCATAACTATTCCCAATTACCCTAGCAATGATGTTTGTGTAATCACTTGCTTTTTCCCCTTAAAAATAAAACTGACCTGGAGATCACAAAATAAACATGTTCTTTAGGAAGCATATCAATTCTCACTCAGGATGAGCAAAAGATTGAGAAGTAAGCTAGGCACCTTTTCATGCTGTTCAGTCTTTTGTCTCCTGATGTCTAAGACCTTCCTGCCAAGTTTGGAAAGCTTATCCCAACCCTGGTCTGTCATTGATGTTCTCTTATCTTCCTGGACTCGAGTTAGGAAAAATGAAAGCAGCAATTTTTGCCCCTTCAAGAGTGTACATTTTACTGAATTTTGAGCACTAGTATCTTAATGTTCTTCTTCCTGCACTCTCTTATATCCAGAATTAACCTACTATAAAGCATCCTTACTGTTTTCCAAGTGCATAGCAGAAAGGGGGAAAAAGCCTGCTTCACTGGAGCATACTAACCCAAAGACATGCTGTTCCATTTTTATGATAAATGTACATTTTCTACTAACAGGCAAATTCTTCATTTCAATGGATAAATTGAGTGGTACCTAGACATAAGATTTCCAACCAATCAAGTTGAAGAAACTGAAAATACAGAATTCCAACTGATTAAGAAACTGGAAAGAGTACAATCCAAAAATACTCTCCTTCTGGGTCACAGCATATCACTTGACTATTAACTTTTTGGTTTTTAGTTGTTTTAACAGTAAACAGGTGCTGAGAGCAGTGCGGGCCTTAGTCTCTGCTTCTTTGGAAAGATCTATGTACCTTCAATGATCGCTTGGCTAAGAAATGCTACATATGTCCTTCCTATTTTACCTCTATTAAGTAACAGTTTGACTTCTCAGTCCTTTGCCACCCACCCGTCCTCAAAGCATAAAAGAGAGAGATCCTAGTGACAGACCACTATGGAGTCTGGCTTTCACATTGTTTTACTTTGTAGTACTACTCACCCTGGGTCTGAGCAGCAATCTGCTTCCTTAAGCCCTGTCAACTCTCCCCAGTTCTGACCTTTGCTTTTAATCACTCTTGCCCAGACTTGCTCCCCTTCTCTGCTTCCTTGTTGTGCAGCATCCAGCTATCCCCCTACTACCAGTAGTGGAGTGGCAGGCAGGATGGGCAAGGTCATAGACAAATGCCACCATTTACTCTCTACTCTGATTTTATGGGTCCTGCACTCCTAGAGGCCAAATCCTAATTGTGGGCTCCTGATCTGAAGATAACAAACTGCACATGCAAGGTACCAAAACTACACATGGAACCAGTGGCAACATTTTGGGCTACCTACTCATTCATCATGCAGCTACATTTGACCAAAGGTCTCAAAGATGGTGCGTTTGCTCTGTGTCCCTTAACTGAGCTAGGAATGAGGACAGGGAGAGCAACGCATGGCTAGTCTCTGACCCCAAATGTTGGCATGAAATGAACACAAAGCCAGGAAATGAGGAGCTTCGCAGTGATCACTAGCACTATAAAGAGGAGGTGAGGCAGACAATCGCACTTTTATTTTCCTTATGCTTTTTGACTGTAGATTTAATTTAATTTTGTCATGGCAGGATTAGCAATCGGGCCACAAAGGTGAAGGGACATAATAACAAGACAGCGTATTAATCCTCTATCCCACCCAAGGCAGAAGCAAAACCAAACAAATAGCGGCTTCCTGGAAATTGAATTTCTGTTATCCAGATGTCAAAGATGTAATACCCCAATTACACAAACTATCGCCACTGAAGCGTGCCAGCGAATATGCAATGTAAATGGGGTGAGCACACAGCGACACAACTGCACCGTCAGCATCTGGCTCTGGGAGTGAGTGATAATTAGCACTGTGTGTAGACACTAATAAACATTTATGTCTGAAATTACAACTTTTACCAATGTTAATAAGGGATATATTGGCAATCTGTAAAATAAAGGGTCTTGAAAAGAATGTCATACATTAAGCAATGGCAGACATTTCCTATTCTGACACAACGCCCCCCCCCCCCCAATTGCAAATGGCCACCTTGTTTTGCTGAGAAATTAATTGACATAGGGACCTACCTAAAAAAATGGATTGTGTCTCTTTGGCCTCCCCATTGACATTGTTGCTGAATTCTGAGATCTTATATGCCTCCTGATGGTAATCTGGGAGAGAAGACAACCAAAGATTAGAATTCTAATGACCTGCACGATATGAATAAGCAATATAGACTGGAGTCTCATTCTATATCAGTGGTTCTCAACCTTCCTAATGCAGTGACGCTTTAATATAGTTCCTCATGTTGTGGTGACCCCCAACCATAAAATTATTTTTGTTGCTACTTCATAACTGTAATTTTGCTACTGTTAGGTCTTAGGCAACCCCTGTGAAAGGGAAAAGGGGTTGTGACCCACCGTTTGAGAACCGCTGTTCTATATAATATGGATAACCTATACTTTAATTTAAAAATATAAATTTCCAGAAATTGGTCAATCACAGAATTTGTAGTTACTAATAATCCCTAAAACTTTGTTTACATGAAGTACACAAACTTGAAACATTACTTTGACTTTAGAAAACAGCTCTGCTTGACTATATGGTTTTCAGAGTAAATTTGGCCCACAGATACCAATTACTAGGCTTCTCTTCATTCAAAAGGATGTTTATAAGAAAAAGAAAACCATGCCCAATCATAGGCCAGGGGAGGATTCCAAATTTTTCTTCACAACCCATTTTCATGAGCATATGAATCACAGTATGCTTTAGAGTTACCTGACATTCTCAGTTTACCCAGATAAAGCCCTGCCTTTAAGCAGCTTAGAGGCAAATATACTGACTTATTATTTCAAACATAGTGTAACTTGGATAAGAAAGCAAGATTCCCATCTTTCACACAAGTGAGTCTTCTGCATTCAGCTACTATACTTTATTATGTAGTAGTTTGTTTTCTAAAAAGCACCTGCACAGCAGAGAGAAGAATCAGACTCATATTTAGGGGGAAAAAGAAAAAAAGGAGAACAATTTGCTATGTCAGTCAAACTTTAAAATACAGTATTTTACAAGCTTCTCGTGGCCACAGTGCTTTGGCAATCTATTTCTAAAAAGTAGGATTGCCTAGGTAAGGAAAGAGAAGTTCCTTCTTAACAGCTAATCCCTTTTTTTGGCCTTGGACCTCACAGGACAAGGTCTACAGAAGTACTCTCACTTTTAAGATAAAGTAGTAAGTTCCCTGAGGCCATAAATAAGAAGGCAGCATACATTCCTAAATGAATCAGAGGGACAAACAGGCCAGTCACACATGGAGAAATTTTAAAAGTACAAATGACTGAGTAATCAACACTGCTAGGGGGAAAAAATGTACACAGAAAGAGGAAAGAGCCAAATATTTTGAATTCGTAAAACTATTTCAGAACTCTTTCATTAAACAGTGTCAAACTGAAGCAGGGGAAACAGATACGAGTAGATCTTCAAAATGTCTGTAAGAAAACCATTTTCAGAACAACCGAAAGCAGATTTTATTGACTCTACATCATAGTTAGCGTAGCTTGAAAGTCTCTATTACTTGCAATTGCACTCTAATTTTCATCAGCTTATGTGTGACTTCCCTAGGTTAAGACAATTGCCTTGCTCTCTACTCTGATGCCAGAGCTAGACAAAGCAACCAGGGAAAAATGGACAGGTTCTGTGGTTTGGTTTTGACCTCAAGTTGATTCAAAGATATTTAAACCAGTAATTCTAAACTCAGTATTAGGACTTGTAACACTGCCACGAAAAAAAGTCACCTGCCTCTCTTTTAAAGTGACACAATGCATTTCCAGTTTACATCTGTTCTTATATTCTCACCGTTTTTTTTTTTAAGTCAAATCAGGAAAATAAAGCCTCTGACAAGTAACTGAACACACACTGTTCAAGTGATGACACCATTCAACTTTCCCCTCCCCTGATAAAATCAACCCAAGCCCAGAGAATGTGGTGCACACCTGTTAAATCCTCGGGAACTGGCTGGGTTTTTTGTTTTTTTTTAATGATACTTGTCTGACTGACAAGCGATCTATTCTAAGACACCTTTGCTACCCAAATAACGTATCTAGAAAACATTTCGGGTATCAACTATTCTTATATGGGCTTGTGTGGCTCATGAACTGCTTTTTCGTTGTTAAAAGAATCACGTCCACCCTTTCCCCTTCTCTTTGGGGGAAAAACCCCAAGCCCACAACCATTGGTCCGATCGGTGTCCGCAGGGCCTGATGCAAGGGCGGCTCTCCCCCAGCCCCCAACCTGGCCACTGGAGTGGAATACCAAAGAGGGCTCTCTGCTCCCCAAGTGTCATTGTTTGCTAATTTCCTTAGTGGCCTCCGACTTGTTTACGCGGAATAAGCCTCCCGTCTCCCTCCGCACAACTTTGCCCGCCTCCCCGCGTGTGCGCCGCGGCCCCTGCGGAGGGAAGTCGGGGGTCCCGAAGCCCAGAGCGGGCGCGGGCCGCGCGCGCAGCTGTTTACAGGAGCCCCGTCCTCGCCCGCCCGGCCCGGCGCCGCTTACCTCCGCTCACCAGTTTGAAGCTCTGGGATTTCCTGCTCCTCTTCCTCTCGGAGAACTCCATGGTGCGGGAGGCCGGGCTGCGGCCGCGGGCTGCCGAGGCGGCGGCGCTGGCTCCTCACCCGCGGGAGCGCCCAGACCAAGGTCCGTCTCTGGAATCCGCCGGGGGGAGGCCACGGGAGGGAAGAACCGCCGCGAACCCGCTCGGGGGCTGCGGCGCGCGGGCTCGGCGGGAGGCGCTTTCCTGGGAGAAGTGTTCCCTCCCGGCCGCCGCCCGGTCCCGCCACACGCCCCCGACCCGGCTCCTGGCCGGCTTCCGGGGAAACGGCCGGAGCCGAACTTTCCGTTGGGGAGCGAGTGGGGGGCGGGGAGGGCGGAGCGGGCGCCCCGGGATGTGGACGCGGGCCGGCCCGGGTGCAGCTCGGGACGCGGAGGTGGCGGCGGCGGCGGCGAGCGCGGCCCCGGGGACGCGGCGGCGGCGGCGGCGGCGGCGGCGGCGGCGGGCGGGCGGGCTGAAGGCGGCGGCGGCGGCGACGGGGTGCGAGCCGGGTCAGGGCGCTGACCGCCCCCGCGGGAGGAGGGGCGCCGAGAGGAGGCGGTGCCGCTGGGACCCCGGGCCACCTGCTGGCAGAGCGCGGCCGCGGCCATCCCCGGGCCCGGCCGCCGCCACCCACCAACCTGGCCGCGCGCCCCGAGGAGGAGGCGGAGGACACAGCACCCTCGGCCCAGCCCGCTGGCCTTCCCCCGGGGTCCTTAGGCTGGCTCCGGGGAGAGGAGTGGGGTGCAGCTCCCTCGGGTGGATCGTGTTATAAATAGTCCTGGGTGTTGGGGATCCTCCTGGCCCGCCCCTCCTTGCCTTGAGATCCAGGATGTCCAAGGGCTAGACTCACTGTTTTTGGGTAAGTTTTAGGAGAAACAAATACCAAAAACTTACCCATCTGCACTCTGCTAGGGAAGGAAGAGATTTTAGAATTTATTGGTGGGTATAGCAAGAGTGAGCTTCAGTATACCCCAATACAAAGAGGGGTGTAGGAAGAGCCAGAGTAATATTTTTTATTTATTTTTTATTTATTATTTAATTAATTAATTTCTGTTACATATGTTTTTCCTTTAAGGAGACAACTTGGTACGTGGGACTTGGAGCTGGTGGAAGGATGAAGGGGTGCAGAGTCTGTGGCTGCTTGATTGCTCTGCTGAGTCTTAGGGAAGAAATGGGCAAAGCAGGTGCAGGAGACTCTGCCACTTGATATAATAGGGCCACAATCGTTGACATAAACAGAATGCTTTTATTAGTTTTATATAATATTCTTTTCTGGGGAGCTATCATCTTTAAGGTGGGAAAGGAAAAGAATTTTACAGCACCTGGAAATGGCAGTGCAGGATATGACAAGCTTTAAAGTACCTGGCCAAACTGATCATTTCTAGACCCAAATACAGAGAGTAAAGAGGTGGACAACATATCCAGTACTGTGACAAATTCGGGTGGCCCCCAAAGAGTAAAGAGGAATAAGGGAAAAGAGTGTGTTGACAAACACGATAAGTTCTACTGTGAGTCTCACCGAAATGAGGAGACAGTCACTCGGTTCACTCTTATTGAACAGGGATACTCAGAGTAGGACAACTGGCAGGAATGGAGAAGTTGAAGGCAACTAGCATAAAGATACACACACTGGGAAACAAAACCAAGGAACAAGGTAGCCAACCAAGTAGTGGAGGCAGGGCCTGGTACACATCCTGAGGTCTTAAGTGCTATGCAGCAAGTGCCTGGCAGTTATACCTGGCCAGGTGCCAGCAGAACTGTTCATTCAGTTCCTTAAAGCAAACTCTTAAACAGGAGTTTCTTAAACTTTGATATTACTGTCTCCTTTGAGATTGCATTCAAAGCTCAGGACCCTTTCCCCAGAAAATATGTATAGGACAAACAAAATTTTGTATAGATTTCTTGGAGTTCTTAGACCATTGAAGCTCTAAAAGGGGCAGAAGGGATTAAAGTGACAACAGGGATTAAATCAATTACCCTATTTGTTTCTCTTCTTTTATTATTTATTTCTCTTTCTCTCTCTCTCTCTCTCTCTCTCTCTCTCTCTCTCTCTCTCTCCCCAGGCAGTTAAAAACTTGAGGAGGTTTTGAATGTTTCTAAAGAAAAAAAAGCATAGGACTTTGTTTCCTAGGCTGGGACCTTTTCCTTTTTTTTGTAATGTTTCAAACATGTTATTCTAAAAGCCACAAGGCTGAGTATTAGACTGATTGTGGAACATTTAGGATCGTTCATGCCTTGGAGCATAAATGATATTTTATTATGCTTAACTCTAATGAAATGATTTAAAGTGCCATACAAAGAAGCAAATCCCTAGGGGAGATATTAACAACTTAGTATTTTCAGTTCAAATGGGAATATGAATTCCATTTACTGAAGAAAATATTGTTGATATAGTTGAAAATATTTCAAATTAATAATGTTTTAAAGTAATAGTCATTTTCCTGGAACTTTTTTCCAAAGATGGTCTATGAGCCAGTTGATCTCCAGAGGCCATAGGTCAGGTTTGTCTTATTGACATATAGAGAAAATCAATAGATATTTAATTACTCCTCACATGGTGCAAATCACATTACCTTTATACAACAAAACAGTGAGTATTCATAAGCATTAAGTAAATACTAACTATGATATTTAATAAGAAGAAATTGCTTTAAGTGGTAGGTATCTGTATTAGTTGCTTGAGCTATCACAACAAAACACAACGAACTGTGTGGCTTAAACAATAGAAATTTATTTTCTCATAGGTTTGAAGGCTAGAAGTCCCAGATCGAGTTCTGGCAGTTTCAATTCTGGTGAGGGCTTCCTCCCTGGCTTTTAGATGGCCACCTTCTTGTAGTGTCTTCACATGGTTGAGAGAAAGAGAAAGAGTTCTGATCTCTTTCTCTTTTTGTAAGACACTAATCCCATTACCAGTGTCCCACCCTTGTGACCTCATCTAAACCTAATGCCCTCCCAGTGGTTCGTCCTATCTCTAAATACCATGACATTGGGAATTGGGGCTTCAAAGTGAATTTTGGGTGGACAAAATTCAGTCTTTATCAGTATTGTTTTTGTAACTGAATATAGTTTTTGTGTTGGAGTGTCCTGGGAAGTCCTGTAGAAGATGTACTAAGGTAATTTCTCTGCCTCTGTAGTTCAAAGCACTCAAAAGTTTTAGAACTGCAGGTTTACATGTTGTTAAACACTCATATCAATATGTATGTCAAATATTCTGTGAGTTCATGTAAAACAAACTTTGTATTACATGAGCATTCCAAAACTCAGCTGATTATAGATAAAGATTAAATGTAGATTTTAATCTTGGTCAATGACAGGTTAATTTGTCCAGAAAACATTAAATTTTTTTTTTTTTTTTTTAATCCTCACCCAAGGATATTTTTACATTTATCTTTAGACAGAGTGGGAGGGCGGGGGGGGGGGGGGGACAGAAAGAGAGAGAAACATCGATGTAAGAGAGACACATTGAGTGGTTGCCACCGGCACGACCCTAATTGGGGCCAGGACAAAAGGCAACTGAGGTATGTGCTCTTGGCCAGAATCAAACCTAGGACTCTCTGGTCTGCAGCCCAGCGCTCTAACCACTGACCCATACTGCCCAGGGCAACATTAATTTTAACCCTCATTCTAAAACTCTCTGAAAACTGTCTTAAAAGGAATAGCATTATGAAAATTTCCACCTTTATTTAGAGATCTGCTGCCAATAGAAATATACCTCAAGTCATATATTGAATTTAAAGTTTTCTATTAGCCACATTAAAAAGAGTAAATATAAACAGGTTTAAACTAATTTTAATAATATGTCTTAACCCAGTATATTTAAAATATTATCATTTAGATAAGTAATCAATATAAAAATATTAATGAGATATTTCACATTCTTTTTTGTTACAAAGGTTTGAAAATGGTGTGTATTTTATACTTAGAAGATACATCAATTCAGATTAGCCATATTTCAAGTGCTCAATAACCATATGTGGGTAGTGGACATATTGGACAGCTAAGATTTAAAAGACTTCTATGATTTGAACCATGCTATATACATAGATATGACTTCAACCAGATTACAGTATTGTTTAATATTTTTAATCAGTAACCCTCAAAACAAAGGAGATAAGCTGAATTGTATTTTTGGGCTTGAGGCTGTTTATAAATCTTTTTTTTTAAATTTTATTGTTGAATGTATTACAGTCTCCTGCAGCATAATAAGATTTTAGTCAGTATTTGTAGGTATGCTTCTATTTCAAAGCTAGAAAGACGATAGGGTGGGAGCCTATTATAAGAATAAAGAGCCCTGGATGGTTTGGCTCAGAAGTTAGAGTGTTGGCCCACTGACAAATGAGTCGCAGGTTCGATTCCAGTCTGCCTTGGTTGTGGTTCAGCCCCAGCCCTGATTGGGTCGTGTGGGAGGCAACCAGTCAATGTGTCTCTCTCACATTGATGTTTCTCTCTCTCTCCCTCCCACTCTATCTGAACAAAAATAGAAAAAGGTCCTTGGGTGAGGATTAAAAACAACAACAACAACAACAAAGAGATCTTTCCACTTAACACCTAGTGAAAAATAGTATATTTAGTAGGTTTGGCCGATTATAAATATTTCACAAACTTAATAAAAGTAGGTTGAACTGAGTTAAATAGCTTGACCAAGGTCATACTGCTGTTAAATGCAGTACAAGACTGAGTTCTGTTAAGCCCTACAGCTCTACAATACTTAATTTGGTACTAAGACAAGAAAATACTATTAGTATTTTCCCTTTTCCCTCCATTGATCCCCTCCTCCCCATTCCTGCCCCACTCCTGCCTTCCCCACACTATTGTATGTGTCCATTGGTTATGCATATATGCATATAAATTCTTTGGTTTATCTCCCCCCTCCCCTTTTTCCTTTGAGGTTTGTCAGTCTAACAAACAATTTGTACTTCTTAATCCCTTCACTTTTTTGCCCATTCCAACCCCCTCTCATCTGGCAACCAACAAAAAATTCTCTGTATCTGTGAGTCTGTTTCTGTTTTGCTTGTATATTTTGT